TGGTAGATAGAGACTGGGTTCAGAGAGGTTCCCTGAGTTGCTTGAGGTCACACCGCCTTGGCTGGAACCCTAGGCTCCTGGTGGTTTTGTGGCTGCTGCTATCCACAATGTCAGACTTAGCGCCCTTAACCCTTGCAGTGCTGACTCCGGGCTGGGCTGCATTGCTTCAGCCCTAGCCCTCTCCTGGAAAATGAGTAGCCCCCTCCTCCACTCCAGTCCGATCTTGATCAAAGGGCCTGCTAGAAAATATGGCTCCCCCCAAAAGTAACATTACCCCACCCCCCACCCCAATACCTAATATTTATGCGTCCCCAGTCTTAGCCAGTTGAACTCAATTTTTGCAACAACCCTTAGCCTGGGGTGGGAAGGACCCCATTAAGTTTTACTGAAATTAATAGTTATCTTTTTTTTTTCCTTGTGCTAACTATAACAATCCTGAAATCAGGAATCGTAACTCCCCAGAAATGATCATGTGGTTTCTTATGACAGAAAGGGTCCCTGGGGTTTGCATTTGGGGAAAAAGAGTCCTGTGTGTAAATGCTGTGTGGAATGTCCTAACCACCTGGACAGAACTTCTGAATGGATGGGTGGGGCAGATTGCCTATACCGCCCCCCCCCCCTTCCCGCCCCCCCCCCCTACAGAGCAAGGCCTCAGAGGGGCTGGCAGTGGCTCAGTCCCTTCAGGGGGACCCTGGGAAGGTAAGAGGGGAACAAAGGCCTTCCCCACCAGAGCCTGCGCCCTGAGTCCTTTTGCCTCTTGGTGTATAAGAAGGACTGGCAGGAGGGAGGCTTCCCAGTCAAAGGGCTGCTGGCCAGCCTGCAGGAGGAGTTCCCATCACCCTGCCTGAGAGCAGGAGAAGGAGGCAGCACAGAGAAACGGGGATGCTCTGAGTGTGGGGAGCAGATGTCTTTTCCCCAGATGAGGGCGCATCCATTCCCTTGTTAGCATTTCATCGCTCCCCCAGCCCCTTGCAAAATTCATGCACTATGACACGAGCGCCTCTAAATTGCCACTTATTTTTCTTGGGGGAGACTGTTGGATGCCACGCATCCTGTCCCTTAGAGGTGGTAGCAGGCATCCAAAGAGGGTTTTCCAACAGCCCCCCAGGCCACGTGGTCGGACCATCGTGTGTCGGAGTTTTCTGACTGCCTCGGTCTCCCCCTCTGTCTTGCTTGACGGGGGGTTTAGGAGTTTTGGGGCTGTGTTCATCATTTTGCCTTGTTTTTCTGAGATGAACGGTTGGGATATCTGAACAGGGAGAGGTATGAACAGGGTGCAGCTATTAACGCTGCTCAATATTCTATTCATTCATTCATTCATTCATTCATTCACTCCCTCCATCACTCAACAGTGTTAATTGTGCACTTACCCTGTGCCAGGCTCTATGCTAGGGAGTAGAGATACTAAGACAAGAGACACACATTTCCTGCCCTCCAGTGGCTCACAGTTTAGGAAGAAGACAGATGTGTAAGTGCATTATGGTATGGGATGTGAGCTACAAACCAGCTGTGTCCTGAGTGGCTTATAATCCTCCTATATAATAAAAGTCTAATATGCAAATTGTCCCCTCAGGAGTTCGACCCACTGGGAGTTCGACCGCTCGCAATGACGTGTGCTGACCACCAGGGGGTGGCATGGAACAAAGGAAGGCCCCAGCTGGCAGCTGGCAGCCAGGGGGAAGGAAGGCCCCAATCGGACCTGATCACTGGCCAGGCCTAGGGACCCTACCTGTGCATGAATTTTGTGCACGGGGCCTCTAGTTGACTAGTAAGATCGCCCAAGAGCAAGAAGAAGCTGGCTAGCCTCGCTGGCCTCTGCTCTCTGCTTCTCTACCAACACCACTCTTACTATCCTGAGCATCATGGGGTGATTGTGGGATCCTAAATTCATCCCAGGCCAGGTAAACCTCATCGCTACAAACACTTGTTACAATGGAGCCTATTTGCATTTCCTATGAGGTGACCCTCTTATCACCCCGGGCTCAGAGCCTCCCTCTTTGGGAGCCACTTGTGAAGAGTCCTTAAGAGTAGTCAGGACAAGTGGAAACGTATTGAATAAGTTTCCACTCCTCAGGGAGAAATCCTTGTAAGCAGATCCACAGAGCAACGTCCCTCAGTACATCTGCTGGGAAAGAGCTCGTTTTGCAATGTAGAAGCTGTCCTTGCGAGTCATTGAGATGGGATGCTACTGGGGATCCACATGTGCCCTGACCGGGAATCGAACTGTGACCTCCTGGTTCATAGGTCGATGCTCAACCACTGAGCCACACCAGCTGGGCGAGAGAGGGAATTTTAATTCAGTCATCCTCCCCCGACCTCAGCAACTTCTACAACACGGGATGGCCAAGATCCCCTGCAGCACTTGGGGCAGTTTTTTTAAAAAAAAAATATTTTTAATGATTTCAGAGAGGAAGGGAGAGGGAGAGAGAGAGAGAAACATCAATGATGAGACAGAATCATTGATGGGCTGCCTCCTGCATGTCCTCCACTGGGGATGGAGACTGCAACCCAGGCGTGTGCCCTGACCAGGAATCGAACCATGATCTCCTGGTTCATAGGTCAACACTCAATCACTGAGCCATGCCGGGAGGGTGGGCAGTTTTAAATAGATTTGTAAACAGGCACCTCCTTTGATTCCGACTGTATCCTCTTAGTTCCGGAATGTCAGAATTTGGGGAATGAGTTTATCTTTCTCACTGCACACCCTTCAATATCGGTGAGACCGTAATCATCAATCTCAATTTTCATCTTTCCACTTTGCAGAGACTAGTCTTTTCATAATTTTCTTATCTAAAATTCTGACCCAGTACCCAACACCCTGGAACTTACTCAGAAAGCAGTTTAGAAGGTTGACTACAAAGTGGTAATGCCTTTGCGTTCTCTGTGAAGGGGGAGCAGTGACTAGCTCTACGTCCGTCCAGGGTGGGGGTGAGGTAGAATATCATAGTTGGAATAGACTAACAGGCTATTGTGTTCCTGCACCTCCATAACCGAGAGAACCCGCCTTCTCTTTTGCAATTGGCACTAAATTAGAATGTTCTCACAAATGCAGTGCTCTCCCCTTCCGATCGGAATCCTAGCAGTATCAGCACGGAAGAGTAAATGGACACATTTGCATTCCATTTGTAGCTTTTGTAAACAGCAAAATTGTGTATTAGCTAAAGAAAGAAATATGCCCGGACGATCGCTCTAAATGTTTCTGGGATTAACAGCAAGAGATGTCGGGAGGGATGTGGACATGAGCTCCGCCTGGAGTTGGAGGTGATAGCAGAGGAGGGGGAGGGGGAGATGGTCAATTGTTTTTTTGCTGGGCTTTTTCAAACTCCAGCCAGGGATTCAAGGTGGTCTTGAACCCAAGCACAGAGTCAGGTACCAGATGGCAGAGATAAAGAAAAAGGATCGTCCCCTCATGATGCCCACCAGGGCTTTAGTGGAACTGTCACCTCTCCTCTGAATCAGATTTCTCTGAATCGGCTCGCCCAGCTTTGCCCACAGTCCAGCATGATCCCCCTGTCCCCTCATCATGCCCACTAGGGCTTCCGCGGAACTGTCACTGTCACCTCTCCTCTGAATCAGATTTCTCTGAATCAGCTCGCCCAGCTTTGCCCACAGTCCAGCATGATCCCCCCCCCTTGCCCCCTAGTGAGGCATCGGGGGAATCTGGGCCCTGTCAGTCACCCCTGACTCTAGTCTCACTTGGATCATCATGGACCTGCACATTCTCAGAGTTGGGAGGGGAGGGGAGAGATAGTGTGTTCCCGTCTGTTCGCCATTTAACAAGCCTGTTGCCTCACCTGTCCCGTGTCCGGAATTACACTTAGAGGACCAGGAGCCGTGTGAGTGACAGGCACGATGCCTCCCCTGGTGGAGGTCAGATCCCTGTGGGATTTTACAGATGGAAAACCCTGGGGCCCAGGGACCAAGAGCCTTGCCCATAGGAGTTTCCGAGCAGAGAGCTGTCTGTCTGTCTGTCTCCAGGCCGAGTGCAGTGCTGCTTCTCCTGCACGCACACCTTTTCACGACACTTTGGTGGGATCGTATACTCCCACGGGATGGGACACCTTCTTCCCCTCCGGTTCCATGTTATCTAGACTGTTCGGAACCCAATCAATTACCTGTTCCTGCCATGGCCAATTTCAAGTCACCCCATCTCACAACTGAAGGCAA